ATTCAGTGGAACATTCGTAGTATCATAGGTAATAAAAGTGACCTTATATATCTGACCAATAAATATAAGCCATTTGCCTTTGCTTTGTCAGAAACTTGGCTTAAACCTGATAAATCTTTTAATATTAATGGATATTGTACAGTGAGAGATGACAGACTAGACAGAAACGGTGGAGGAACAGCTATTCTTATTAAGAACACAATTCCATATATAAATATAACTATTCCTCCACATTGTGATGACATCTATAGTAGCTATAAGTTTAAATAATATTTGTTTAGTATCAGTGTATATACCACAACCTTTATCTTACATTTTAAGTGATCTAAACAACTTGCTCTCTTCCCTTCCTAAGCCTATCTTAATTCTAGGAGATTTTAACTGTCACCATACTGTCTGGGGAAGCTCTCAGTGTAGCTCTTTTTGTAGAGAATTAGTGGACATACTGGACACACATAATTTATGTTTCCTTAACACAGTTAGCCCAATACGATGTACAGATCAAAATCAGAATATAAGTACTGTAGATTTATCTATTTCTTCTCCAAGCTTAGCCTCTTCTTTGTCTTGGGAGACTCTTACATATACATATGGTAGTGACCACTATCCAATAATCATTGGATTTCCAAGTCATCAAGTAAAGCACTCCCAAAAGTTAAGTTAGCGAAAATATAAATATTCTATTAGAGATGACACTACTTGGAAAACTTTCAAGGATAGAGTTGACGCTAAGATTAATCAACTACCAAGTGTGAGCAGTAGTAATGATATTGCTTGTGCACAAATTCTGACTGACATTTTAACAGAAGCTGCCTCTGAAACTTTTCCTTCCAAGGCAAATACTTTTAGCAGAATTCCATCTCCACCTTGGTGGGACAGCGAATGCACCCAAGCAATTAAAAAAACGAAAAATGCAGAAAGACTCTATTGTAAAAATATGACATAAACTAACTACGAAATACTATGTAAATTAAAATCAGAAACAAAAAAGTTATTCAAAAATAAGAAATTTGAAGGCTGGAAGCGTTTCTGTACTTCTATTTCTCCTAATGTCCACCCTTCAATAGTCTGGAATAATATTAAACGTTTTTTGTTTAACAAAACTTCCTTTTCTACTCTTCCTCCTACTCTTGCGATCGTTCGCATAAATTAGCACCGCCATGGGTCCCGGAAAATAATTTAACCCTACAAGCCTCCTCGCTATCGTTATCCACACATTACTTAGAACGTCCATTTACTTTATATGAACTTAAAGGTATTATCAACAGCGTTAGAGACTCCTGCCCAGGTGATGATGGAATTCCATATAGTTTCTTTAAATCTTAGTGACTTGAAAAGTGACAGTACTTTTAGGTTATTTAGCTATCGTAAATAGTTTCATGATAACTGGAAACGTCCCGTTACCATGGAAATCTCAGATAGTATTGCCAGTATTGAAACCTAATAAATCACCAAATGTTGCTGATAACTACCGTCTTATAGCGTTATCTACTGTTTTAGTCAAGTTGGCTGAACATTTAATAAAAACCCGTTTGGAATGGTTTTTAGAAAATAAACAGGCTCTTTCTTACAGTCAATATGGGTTCCGTAAAAGCAAAAGTACTATTGATATATTATTATAATCACAATAGACGTTCGATTAGCTTTTATGTCCAATAAATCAGTAGTCGCTGCTTTCCTTGATATAAAGTCTGCGTACGATAATGTAATTTTATCGATATTAAAGTCTAAATTGGAAGCTCTTGATGTTCCCCTCCGATTTTCTAACTTAATTATTAATTTACTTAATGAGCGAACTGTGAAATTAATATTTGATTTTGATAATGACATGGCCAGAACTGTCTGGAAAGGTTTACCACAAGGTTCTGTCCTAAGTCCTCTACTATATAATGTTTATACGTATGATTTAGAAACCATATTTAAAAATAATGTTAAAATTCTTCAATACGCAGACGATCTTCTTATCTACTCTAATGATAGCTCTATAGAAAGAGCTTCGTCCAATGTATCATCTGCTTTGTCTTGTCTAAAGAAATGGCTTGATCAGAATGGCTTAAGCCTTTCAGTGTCTAAAAGTAGTGTGGTGATATTTTCTAGAAAACGTAAGGTTCCCCCAATACAAATCATGTATAATGTTGATAGTATTCCTGTTCAAGACAGCTTTAAATACCTGGGAATTATCTTAGACTCCAAAATTACCGGCGCACAGCATTGTGAACATTTGGTTAATAAATGTGAACGTCTTTTAAATAGTGTTTAGCTGGTGTCTGGTGGGGTGCTCATCCCTTTACTCTCAAATTACTTTATAATTCCTTGATACGTAGTATATTAGACTATGGTACTTTTTTATTAGAACCTGGGAGTAGAAGCGCTTTAAAAAAGCTTGACCGTATACAATCAAAAGCTCTAAGATTGGTTACAGGAGCCATGAAGTCAAGTCCAATCAATGCTTTACAGGTAGAGTGCTGCGAATCGCCATTACATCTTAGACGCCAATATTTATCTGATAGATATCTCTTTCGTTCCATCCAGTTAGCTCATCACCCAATTTTTTTTGGGTTGCAATCTCTGACAGAAAAAATGGAATCTTCCAATTATTGGGTCAATAAATGTCCTCCATGCTTAATAATTAGCTACAAAAAAAAAAATGGTTGCCTGTAAAGTCGGTTTTACGGGCGAAGATTTTACGTGACAACGTCTTTTTCTCGGTAGAATATTTATTGATATGAATATAATTAAATTGCACAATAGGAACAAGGAATTGAATGAAAATAAGAATTGCACAAATTTTAACTATAGAAATATATTTTGTTTACTAAAACATTGTACATGTAAACTTAAACTTAACACGAGAGACTCATCGTAACGTTACCGAGCGTTACACTTTTTCATAAGTGACTCCCAGCCGCAACCTAATTTAAGACGTTGTCACGTCAAAACCATTTAAAACATATTTCCAAAAAGCGTCAACTAGCCTATTCTGTGAGCCTAGCGCAGACGTTTCAGTTTTATTATTAGGTAATTTCCGAAAAGAACGTAAGGTGCTTTTCCATTCTGAAAAAATAAGAACAGTGTGCGCCTTGTTGAACATTTTGTATGTGTGCATTCAGGACTTCAATACGGAATTCCTGATCAGGAAAACGAATCAGGAAACTGTACATATGCGCCCAACCTTACTTTACAATTGGATAAGAAGCGTTCAGTCTACCCTCTGTGTATATCATTATTTAAAGGGGCGTCCACAGAGATATGACATTTTAAAAATACCAGTATTTGAAATGCAAAGTACCTATTAAAATTTTGTATTTTAATACTTTTCATTTTCTATTTTATTAGAAATACTTTTAGGGACATATTTTGTATTTGCAAAATACTTTTAACCGGATTCAAAATGGAGGAGGTTCTCAAATTCCCAATTCGGTCGGTATATAATTTTTTATGAATGTACACCGATTACGGCGTGATTTTTGATCCAATTTACGTAATTTTTTTGTCCAATGCATAATAATAGATGCCATTTAGTCCCATAAAAATTTAATTCAATTTGGCGCCGTAGTTTTTATTTTAAGTGTTTTTGTTAACTTGGGAGGTGTAATTTTTCCGATACTTTATTTAGATGTACACCGATTACGTACTGAATTCTAATCTGATTTGAGTGATTCTATTTTTGTTCGATAGGAGATACTTACCATTTAGTATCATAAAAATTTAATTAAGTTTGACCCAGTAGTTGCCATTTTATGAGCACATTTGTTTACTTAGACGATGTAATATTGGCACTTTGTGTACGGCTTCTTTTAATAAGATATGTATAAATATATAATATGAAAAATATTTTTATACGAAAAATAAAAACTAACTTCAAAATTAAAAATGGCACAAAAGAGTAAAAAATTCACACAAATCGGGCGGGTCCTAGTATGATTTTGAAGTCGGGCGGAGCGATGACTAAAATATGGAATATATTTTCAATTCTAATATCGGTCTATGTGTTTTAATCTCTTGACACACCCAACTTCCAAATCATACTAGGACCCGCTTGTTTTCATGTGATCCGGATATTAATTTTTTGTAAATCGATGAACACGATTGGATGCACGAAAAAGTGTGACGTCATGTCACGTGTTCACGAGTTAGTTCAATGTTTCGTGGTGTTTATGAGGTGAGGTCGGGGGGTTCCTTCAATCCCCTTTTGGTCACCCTTCCAATGACCACCCATTGGTCGTTCGTGCGATTCAATCTTTTAATGACGGCTGTAAAGCTAGCGTAAGTCGCGGCGCAGTAACAGAAATAGGGTATTTGACAAGTTTTAGAAAACGATCTCACGTTATTGACTAATGTTTATGGAGTCCGTAAAAAGATGGATATTCATCATTCTGTTGTGTATTTCAGTAAAAATAACCAAATCAAAACTCCATTTACAAGTTGCCGCGAAAACGTTTCTCTGGGCAATATGGCGTCTCACTGGTGTGTGACGTCACACGACTGTTATTTAAACGTCAAATGATACCATGTAATGTCACTTTAACCGGAAGTTTACTTGCGTGTGACGTCATTTTAGGCTCTTTTGGGTCACGTGACAATAGATAAGAAAACTATTATCTTATTTGTTTCTTAGGTTTTCACGCATATCACTCATTAAATAAAACTAGTTTTTCACGGGTTAATACTACTATTATCTTTTTAGTGAGTATTTAGTAAAACGATGAATATTTTTTCTGTACAAATAGTGAAAATCCCTGCCAATATTCATTCTAAACACAGATGCTAACAATTGGCACTTTATTTTTAATACTGTCAAATATCCTATTTAGGGTGATGTCACTTAACTGAATCCTGCGTACCTATAAATACGACTGCTGCTAATTTCATATCCACCTTACTTAAATATTAAATCGCGCTATACCAGCCACTAATTTGCAAGTAAAACTTTTCGCACCTCTGTCTTGGGCAAAGTAGAGAGGACAATATAATTATTGACTTAATTATTAATGTTCTAGAACAAATCATTTAAATCGGGAAGCGAGTGCAAGAAGTTGGTGAAGAGTCGCAGTTGCAAACCAGTGCATTGCCGACGACTCCTTACCAAGGCTATAAATTCTTCCGTCAACCATACTAGAACATAAGTTATATGTTATTAAGTTAGAAGTTATTATTTTTTCATAAATTTTATCGACCGCATGATCGGTAGTACGCTTTGTTATTATTACCTACGTATTCTTTAAGCATATTTTCATTGTAACATAATGTAAATAATTCTTCTTTAATCTGTTCGTATATACCTATAATAAATCTTTGTAGAGGAAAATACCTCAAGAATATGCAAAGTACGAGTCGCATTCTTAAATCGAGTAAAAAATCTGGAAAATTATCACGCTGCCTAAATAGGAGACCCTTGATTTTTTTGTTTACCCTTTTTCTATTCATTATAAAATTTCACAAGTCTTGTTACGGATTATGGGTTAGAAACTGCTGACAGACGGGCGGGCGGATAGACAGCAGAGACCAGTTACGATGAATCTTATCTGTAATAAGTATATTATTTATTAATGAATTTCTTATAAGTATATGCCGGCACTTCACATGGCTATTCGTATTTGCTATTTGAGAAGTTGACAACGTCTCTCATTTTCACTCCCCATAGAGTGTGTAGGATAAAGGCAACAAACATGCTGTCAAAATGACAAATGTAGAAAATACGAATAACCATGTAAAGTTGTCAAGTGGCGGCATAATATAAAGTTAATTTTATCATATGGTACAGTATGTGTATGCGCAAAGACAGTTGAAAAGCTATATTGAATGTTGAGTGATGGATGAATGGATTGATTGTTAAATGAAGGTTTCCGTAAGACTACTCGCCGCTAGATGGCTCTATCAGTCGTCAAAGTCTTGAACAGAGACTTAGTAATAATTAGAAATAGTAATACTTATTATAATCATGCTAAAGAAGGTTAAGCGTAATTTCAGTATTTAATGCTAGTAGCTCTTCACTCTCGTCGAAGTTAGGCGAGGCGAGGTTGCGCGAATTTACACGAGGCGAGTCAACACGAGGTGACTCAAGAAAGTATCCATCTTTACTCTCGCCTCTGTTCAATTCTCTCTATGTCGCCAGCTTAATGAACGTACTCGAAGTGGCAAGTGCCGCGACTTTATGCGTCTTTGCGTATATGATTTTTGATAACATATAGTACACTTATAAAATTAAAAAGCCTTGGCGAAGAAGGCGATGGTGGATAACATCTATACACCGTAACAGAACAAGATATGAGTTACAATTTTATTTTTCTGGTGAAAATACGATTACTACGTGAGTTCTTTATTCGTTTTTTTCAAAAAAAAAACTCTGCCAAAAAATGTTACTTTAATTTTACTAAAAATTCTGGTGTCATACCGATTGAATAAACGCGAGAATGTGGACGCCGCACTTAGCTTCGTCTCTCCTCTACCTCGCGCCTTTTGACTCGCGCCCAAAAACCGATTCCAGTTGGAGGACAGACGAGACGAGCCGAGGCGCGGCGATGTGACGCGAGGGCCCCCACTACACTCTCGTGTTTGCACTCCCTCGTCTAACCCCGTCGACGGTGAAGTGCTAGCATATAATGTATGCGAATACGAGAGATCCTTGTTCATAAGTAACACATTTCAATGACACTTACAGTCTACCATTACCATTTATAGGCAGCGTTATTAGTACCTACATAGTCACAATATTCAATAAATAAAATTAGGGGTATTGTTAAACAATTTTATTTTTATGAGCAAGAATCAACAAGTCTTTGTACAGGAACTTCTTAATCTATATTATTGTTTGTCATACATAATTAAATAATGTTATAATTAGGTCAATATAATCAATATACTATTATTATCTAGCTTCCCTAATGTAATACTGTCTAGGAACATCACAGTTGCTATTTTACACCACCTTCCAAACTGTTGAACAAAAACATAGTATCTAATAAGAAATAACTAGACATTTCCATTGTAATAACATGTAAGTATATCTAATAAATTATTCAAAAACTAGAATTCATTTTCTTTCTTTTAATTACTTACAACCTCTTTAATAAAAATCCTAGTTTTTCATATTATTAATAATATGCTATATCAATGGTCGCTCTCATTATTCTATCTTCGGTAAAAGATAAGCTGACTAAATATACTTACTAAATTACTTAGTTATAAAATTTGCTTATTTAACTATTATAAGCCCATATCTCACTGAGGATAACATTATTGGGAACGACCCTAATGGCCTGCGCAGACGAAAAACTTTTGTCTGCGGAGGACAAAAGTCCTTCAATCGAGGAAAAAAGGATCGCCGAGGAGTTGTCTTCACAGTCTCGACGCACACAATGTGCGAACATTCGCTGCCCGAAAATTTAGAAAACCGCCAAGGAAGTAAAATTTTCTCAGATTACGTAACACATATCGAAACTAACATGAAGTTAAAGAAAAAGAAAAGACCTTTTAAAATACAATACTGAGTCAGCTCTTTAAATTGGATCGCAATCACAACGCGGGCTGAAGTTTGCTGTGTGCGTTGCTGCTCACATGAGTTCTTTTTTTATCCAGGACACCCGCGTACTTTTGTCCCGTCCTGTCTCGGTGTCCTCATTTGTTGGGGGGACTTTTTGTAATCGGTACTTTTATTCTGTCGTGTGCGCAGCTCGATGCAGTTGTAAGCGATCTATTTTGGCGGACGAACCACAAAAGTTCCTCGTCTGCGCAGGCTTTTGATATCATAACATAAAAGGCATTTAAACTGCACTAACTTTTGAGCCATTTATTTATATTAATTTATTACTAAACGCCAATCTATGATTTTTATTGATACAAACGTATTATTATCTTTTGCTACTTTTAGGTTTGGTGATCGTAAAAAACGCAAGATGAGTTTTTCCCCAAGACGTTCATATAATAATATAGTGTAATTTCTACCACGCAAAGTTTTTAACAGAGCCACCTAACCATTACTCGGGTAGACTATGCTAACATTTCACTGTTTATAAGGTACCTGATACAAATAAGGCCTATGCTGAAATAATTCCTGTAGTGCAGAAAAGTCTATTAAAATATATTTACATCAAAAATACTTTACACACGCATAGATGACAGTTCTGCAACTCTGCAAGCTGTGCACGAGCGGTCCGCTCGAGTTCATAGCGTTAGTAGCGGCGGTACTTTGTGAAGGACGAGCGTTTTCATAGCGCGTTATTAATTTGTTGTAATTTTTATCGAATTTTAATACGTTATTCTTTGATGTTTTGTTTCTTGTAATGTATACGGATCACAATATAATTCAAAAAGTTAACTATGACTTAAAATTGAATTTTTAGAATATGCGAATTAAATATTGCTTATAACTTTTAAGAAGTATGATGTACTAAATAAAGCCTACTTTTACAATAGGAATTATTTATGACCCTGGGCCTTAATAGGAATTCTGTTGAATTTGATCTAGACGCATTTTTATGTTCTAATTGTCACTAAAACTGATTTATAGAGTCACTTCTATACAGTTCTTATTATAAGTAAGACTGATTAATGTTTCTAAGCAAAATGTGCTATTTACTACGTTCTAAAGCCTTATTCAGTTATCTTGTTTAATTAAGGCCTATCAAAATATATTAATTTTTCAATATTTAATAATATTTTTTAAAGAAGATGTGTTATTTTGCAAAATTTTATTTGTATGGATTTTTTTTTAAATTATTCTTTATTTCTTTTTAATATGCGGCTTCAAATCTGCCTAGCAATTTAAGCAAAATATTAAGTAAAATAACTTAAAATATGGTTCAAGGATCTCATGGAAACACTTGATTAAATACTCAGAAATACATATTTTAATATAATTTATACTCTAATAGTAATATTCCTAAAATTTAAGTACAAAGGCTTTGTTAAGTCACTATGTTTTAAAAACTCCTAAGGCTAAGTTTACAGAATTAGCTGTTATTAGTGATTTCTGATATTAAATAGGAATAGGTTTTCTTAATAACTGAAAATTTATAAACCAAAGAATATTGCCTTGCTTTTTATTTATCATTTTCTTCGAATAATTTATCATGATATGAGTCTTTGAAATCAGGTAGGCCTTATTTGTATTACTTACCTTAGCCTAAAAACGTATCAAATTGACTTGACGTTGAAATGTAGGCAAATTGTTTTGATTGGCGAGGAGTGACAGACGTGACAGTAGGTATTATGGCTGCGTAGCGAATACTCGCGGATTCACTTTCACTCATGTTCAACATAGGCACAAACTTTGAGTATAATATGTAGATGATTTTCATTAAACAGTCCCGCAACTCTTTGGCGGCAAAACTGATAAAAATAATGTGCGTTTGTTTTGAACACTTATGGTAAGCAGATGGCTGTATAGCCAACGGCGCGTATAAAAACATTATTTATAACGATGACCGCTTTTAACAGCACTTATTTATTATTTAAGCCCACTTTCACCATCTTTCTTAAAAAACATCAATGGACAGTTAAATAGACGTTCTAACTGTGTTTTAATTTGTGATCTCGAATATCGGTTATAATTTTGGAGTTAGATTTACTGACCTAATTTTGTCACTATGATGATTAGGTCAGATTGTCACGATGATTGCGCATTTTAATGGTGAAATAAACACTTTTCATCAAGTTTTCATTAGTTAAAGTCACTTGATTAAAACATCTTTATCCAACACTTAGTTTTATTTAAATGCGTGTGATTGAAGATTTTCTAGGCGGTTCACAGCAGCGTGGAGCTATGCATTCCTTGGCGCATGGACAGGCACATGCCAAATTTGCTAAGTCTATGCAAGCCTTTTTCTCCTCATCTGTTCCTGTAAATTAAAAATAAAACACGCTTAATTAAAAGTAAGTAATGGTTATATGCCTGGCTTTACTGTTATGTCTAAGATGTCTATTGGACATTGATGTTGGCATGTTACATCGGTTTTCAAGGTGTCATCGCCTACTTCGAAGTCCTGGGTGCGAATCCCGGTGAGGTCAAATGATTTATATGAGCATTTATAGGTACTTAAGTCATAGTTATTTATATACAGTTGTGGTCATATAATTAGAAACACTTATTATGAATACAGAAAGTATAACTTCAACGAACAAATATACACATTCAATAATTAATAATCATGCAATAATATAGCCACTCAAATAAAAAACTCATTAATTGTATAAAATATAAAACATATCTTACTTTTAATTACAAAATGAGTCTTACGCATGTAACGCCTAATTATGTTGTGTAACATTTGAAACCTCACCTTATATTAGTAAAAAAAGAAATAAAACCTACTACAAAAGGAATAAGCCATTTGAACATTATGTTCTAAAATCAAATCAAATACCTAGCGTGCACTTTCGCGACTTCCTGTTACACAGTTCCGTCCCATTTCACGAAATCACTCCCACAAATTGCACGAAAGCGAGAGGAAAGATGTTACACATCAAAAAGAAATAAAACCTACTACAAAAGGAATAAGTCATTTGAACATTATGTTCTAAAATCAAATCAAATAGCGCGCGCTTTCGCGACTTCCTGTTACACACTTCCGTCCCATTTCACGAAATCACTCCCACAAATTGCACGAAAGCGAGAGGAAAGATGTTACACATCAAAAACCAGCGAGCCTTACAGTAGTCGCGTATGATGTGTAACATTTGAAACCTCACTTTATATTAGTAAAAAAAGAAATAAAACCTACTACAAAAGGAATAAGCCATTTGAACATTATGTTCTCAAATCAAATCAAATAGCACTCGCTTCCCAAACTTCCTGTAACACACTTCCGTCCCACTTCACGTAATCACTCTCACTAACTGCACGAAAGCGAGAGGATAGATGTTAAACATGAAAAAGCAACCATAGCTCGTTCTTTTTTAGAAATTGGAGAAAAACATTTCTTTCTTGGTTTCTTCTATTATATTGGCGCAATTCAAATTTTAATCTGAATTTTATTTTGTCCAAAATGGGCAATAATAAAAGATGTGACGAGTCAACTAGGCACATACTTCTTAATTTACATATAGATCATAAGTGTACGTACAGAAGAATAGCTGAGCATTTAAATTGTTCTGTTAAGAAAGTTTTTAATGCAATTGATCATTATAAAACACATAGAACTGTTGAAAATGTTCTTAGAAAGGCTCGGCCAAGAAAAATCTCTCCCAGAGAGGAAGGGATGAGGGAAAAATCTCTCCCAGGAGGATCTCGTCAAGACTGATAAGTCTTGACGAGATCCTCGCGAAGATGAGTGGAAGCTAAATTGTTTGGAAGAATCGCTCGAAAGGTACCGCTTCTTACCAAGCAACACATAGAGAAGCGATTATTGTTCGCTAAAAATTATGTTAATTACATGGTACGAGAATGGAAAAAAGTGTTATTTTCAGATGAAACAAAAATAAATATAGTACACGTCCTGTAAACAATGCTTATCATTATAAATACATAAGTATAGTCAAGCACGGTGGCGGTAACATTAAAGTTTGGGGGTGTTTTTCCGGATGTGGAGTTGAACCCGTTCGGAAGATTGAAGGTACAATGGATCAATGGCAATACAAAAATATCTTATAGCACACAATGATTCCCTACTCGGACGATCAGTTGCCTGTAACCTGGCTCTTTCAGCATGGCAATGACCCTAAACACACGGCCAATAGCGTAAAATGTTTCCTTAGCGAACAGCGTCTATCCGTTTTAGACTGGTCAGAAAATAGTCCGGATTTATACCCGATAGAAAATCTCTGGTATATTGTCAAAAAGAAAGTCTCAAACAAAAGTAACACCAGTCAAAACGAAGTCATTTTTTGTTGAAGCATGGAATTCAATCCCACTAGAAAAATGTATGAAATTGATTGAATCAATGCCACGTTGTTGCAGTGCTGTTATTGGAAATAAGGGATACGCCACTTAATATATTCATTATAACTATTGGTAGGCTATGGATAGTAGCTATTTTGTAAATAACAAAACTAAAACTTGTACCTAATTACTAATACTTAAAAAGATATTGGTTTTTTATACTTATTTGTTGTTGTTTCTAATAAGTTGACCATGATGGTTGGTTGGTAAATGTTCAAACTTTTAAACTGATTTAAATGTTTGTCAGTAATGTAACATTGAAATTGCGCTTGGTTAATGGGATTTATATTGTTTTTCTAATAAATGATAAATCGTTAAACATATTGTCATCCTAATTATTGTAATTTCAAAATATATATTAAAACGATTGCGGTGAAGTATCTTACATAATGACAAGGACCGTTGGTAGTGTTTTTAATTTTACGACCACCACTCCCGGACTCTTGAATCGAGCCACCTTACATTCCCGGGCCTAAAAGCAAATACACAAAAAATATACAATATAACAAAAAAGTTTTTATGCATTTTTAATGCTGGCATATTTCATCGTCTTTCCCGTATGTATTATTCCAAATTTGAATTTTAGAATTTAAAATAAAGAACAAAAGCCGAGCTTGGTCACTGATTTGAAAAAAATAATGATTGTTGAAAGTTGCTTTTGAAGCAATTTAATGTCGATTTGGTTTGAATTTTCGCAATCGTTGTAAACCAAAGTTTAGTTTAGTTATTTTTCTATAATTTGAACCATTTTTGGCTATAAAATTATGGATACTTCGCCTGAAGTAGCCGCGCAAGCTGTAGCACTTCTTCAATCTGGGCTAAGTCAGCGAGATGTGAGTTCACAACTTTACATAAGTCGTTCCGCTGTTCAAAGAGTGTACCACCGATACCTGGAAACTGGCGGCTTCGTTCGGCGAACAGGAGGACCTCGTTACCGAGTGACAACGGCGAGACAGGATCAATACATTGTCACTACTAGCTTACTAAATCGACGCCTTTACTCTGTTCAGATACAAGAACAGCTCAAGGACTTTCACGGAGTGGCTGTAAGTGCTCTGACCGTTAGAAGGCGACTCAATGAACGTGGTTTAAAGCCCCATAAGCCAGCCAATGGACCCAAATTGACATGAGCACACCGAATAGCCCGTCTAGAGTTTGCGCGCGAACATCTAAATTGGACTCGACATCAATGGAGCCAGGTTCTCTTCAGAGATGAGTCCAAGATAATGCTATACGGTAATGACGGAAGGAGTAAGGTGTACCGAAGACAGAACGAACGTTGCGCGCAATGCTGTATTAACGAGAAAGTGAGTTATGGTGGAGGATCATGGACAGTCTGGGGTGGAATCTCTATGGAAGGCAAAACTGAGCTAGAGGTAGTGACGGGACCACGACTGCCGCCCCTAGATGGCAATATATACATTCGCCAATGTTTAGAGAACCAAGTGATGCCATGCTGGATTTATTGGCCAAGATTTCGTTTTAATGCATGATAATGCAAGGGCCCATACTGCGGGAATCGTCAGGGAGTACTTAAATGACATTGGTATCACTGTTATGAGATGGCCAGCGATTACAGTACTCCAAACCAAAAAAATCAAGGTGGCTTGATTTAGGTGTCCGGGAGTGTATTTCTATAAAATAACCTCAAATATAAGTATCCTTTACCCAGTATCCCATAACAATAAGAGTCTCTCAGGGAGTATATAAGTATCCCTTACTCTAGTATCCCATAACACGAAAAATCTTACAGGTGGAGGCTAATTAGTTTGAGTGTTTGAAATATTTATTATTGTTAACTGCTTATTATTAATTAGGAAACGTCACTGATTATAAGGGAGTTCATAAATAAGCTATCCGATTTTTATTAAGTAATTATTTTTCTTACCCATAATATCGACGAGATCAAATTCTGGTTGCAAAGTAACGAGACCTATTCCGTAACGCTTGAAAAGATCTGACAGTAGAGCAGAGCTCTGTATGTAGTTCTGAAATAAGAAAAAGCAATAATTAATTATTTATCACTTACATCTTAATAAAAAGTGTATCGAAATCATTCAAGTGTTTTATACGTCAATCAATAAATATCCGTTGGTACACTAACACCTCGCCCATATAATGCCATTCTGAACTTCATTCCGCTTAAGGATTCCTATAGGAGATCGATTTATCGCAGAATCGATTTTTTGAGCCAAAAAGATCAATTATATAAATCTATATGTAATACTGAATCGATTCAGTGAATCGATATTTCACCCTTGAAAATCGACTTTCCATTTTATATTATTTTTACGGTATAAACCAAAAAAGTATATACAATTAATTGAATGTACCCGTTATAAGAGTGCTGTCGGTTAAAGGGTTAATTATTAAAAAACTCGCGAGATGGTTGTATGTTTGGATTCCTTCGCCGCTTTTTAATAAAAAAAGTTACGTTTGTTTGTAATATTTGAATAAAAATATTTTTTATCATCGAATTACCAGATTTTACTGATAAGAGATCGTTAAATTTTGATAGATATGTATCTTGTTTTTAATAAAATAGATTTATATTACATTATAAACAAAACCTTGAAAAAAAAGATTGATTTTTTAAAAATCGAGGCCCATATTTTTTGTGGATCGATTCATTAGGTCGCGATTCGAATCGAATTAAAAATCGATCTTTTTCGGAAAGATTCGCCATCCCTAATTCCGCTATGGCGTGGAACTGGAATCCTGGCAACTTTACTCACATATCACTACATTTAAGAATGTGAACAAAACAAAGACTACACTCTACGTCTCACTCGACTGATGGCATTGCCCAATTGCCGCTCCTCCCTCTCTAATTGTGAATATAAATCACCCCAACCCACTCGAATGGATTTTTTTTTGTTTTCGAATACGATCCAGCTGTTTTGGAGTTGAATTACACACAGAATTAAATATATACATAAACAGAAGATATATTATGTGTAAATTTAACTTGGAGTATATAGATTTGGTCTTCTCCAATTCGAGCGGGTGTTTGCTATGCCATAGTGTACCTCTCATGATATCCTAATTGGTATTAGTACAGTCAATCTGTCGAAAAAAATATCGTTTCAGTGAGAAAAAAACCTAAAGGGTAAGTCTTGTTTTTTCTGTTGCCAAATGACGTCAGTAAGCCCATTGGCGATGGGCATGTTCAACTCGTAGGCGTTTTTTGAAAAACTCAAAAAAACCCTCAAATTTTTTTTAAAACGCATTTTTCTTGTTTTGTATGCATTTTAGAAACTTTTTTTTTACCATAATTGTAGAGGGCGTTGAGTGCTACAATTTATGTCATTGTTGCAATCTCGTACAACAAAAAATGCGCATTGTAGGTGGCGCTAAAGTCTCAAAAAAGTGTTTTTTCACTTTTTCACCCTAAAAATATCATTTTAAAGGAAAACTTCAAATGGCAAAGTTGTTTCGTACATAATTACCAACAACTTTTGTATAAACATTTTTTTTGTATTACTTACCGTTTTCAAGTTATAAATTGCGCTGGTATGAAAAATCCAATAGAGCGGTTTTGGGCAGTTCAAGTACGCATTTGCAGTGCACATTTCAATGTACGTTTTACTATTTTTAATTTTTTTTCATGATTGGTAAAAAAAAAAAAAAAAAAAAAAAATAGTTTTATTTTTATTTTTTTTCATGATTGAAAAAAAATTAGTAAAAACCGTACATTGAAATGTGCACTGCAAATGTGTACTCGAACTGCCCAAAACCGCTCTATTGGATTTTTCATACCTGCGCAATTTATAACTTGAAAACGGTAAGTAATACAAAAAAATTGTTTATACAAAAGTTGTGGGTAATTATGTACGAAATAACTTTGCCATTTGAAGTTTTTCATTAAAATGATATTTTCAGGGTGAAAAAGTGAAAAACCACTTTTTTGAGACTTTAGCGCCACCTACAATGCGCATTTTTTGTTGTACGAGATTGCAACAAAGACATAAATTGTAGCACTCAACGCCCTCTACAATTATGGTTGAAAAAAAAGTTTCTAAAATGCATACAAAACAAGAAAAATGCGTTTCAAAAAATTTTTGACGGTTTTTTTGAGTTTTTCAAAAAACGCCTACGAGTTGAACATGCCCATCGCCAAGGTGGCTTACTGACGTCATTTGGCAACAGAAAAAACAAAACTTACCCTTTAGGTTTTTTTTCACCACTCAACCTACAGATTGACTGTACTATATTGTATTGAGAACACGTGCCATTAAGCTATTGATATGGAGTGCAATAGCAAATTATTAAATTTATTTAATTGAAGGCAAGTAGCTCTACATAAGTAACAGTGTTGTAGTGAACCCAACCTCTACGTTGTAAGTTTATGATTGCTGTGTTAGCGTCAATTAAGTACTCAGCGTCATACGATGTAATCAATTACGCTTCGTTTATGACTGAGAACGAAGTACCTAATCTAGTTTATGGTTGGTTGTGTAGGAGCAATCATTGATTTCACTTGCGGGCGAATCTTGGTACCTACTTAGTATAGGTAGGTACTTTGTTAGCTTTTTTATGGCAGCGCAGTGCAACTAGTACGTACACAACCATCTCTATATTTTACAACAACAAACGTACCTTGTGTGTGTCGTAGATAGCATGCGCGGTGGCTACCAGTGGATCCCGGTGCATCTGCCATACGTTTACGGAAATGTTGCGCGACGATGCGCAGCTAGCGCAAAACCAACTTTTTATAGTAGGTAGGTATAAAAAGAAGAGAGAGAGGTAGGATATAGCGGATTTTCCGCTCGAATTGGAGCACCCTTCTGGGGAAGCAACCTCTACCTTGCTGAAGAGGTAAAATAAGACAAGCTCCTTGTTGCAGGACTCCACGGTGTTGGCATTCCTTCTGCCGCATCATCTATCTTCGCGACTGGACTCCACTTACACGTAATATCAGGTGGGGTGGAGTTATTTGTAGGGCCTTGTATAAAAAAATAAACCTTGCGTGCGCCGAGATAACGTGCGCGGTGGCTACCAGTTTCTCCATACAGCTGCCACACGTGTAGCTCAGGTATGACAGCGAAGCTTGACAGTGTGTTACTACCCATAACACACGCAACCAACTCTTTCTACAGTAATTACAACAAACATACCTTGTGTGCGTCGTAGACAACATGCGCGGTAGTTATCAATTTATCCCGGTGCAACTGCCACACATTTAGCTCGTGTATGGCAGCGTAACGCGACGGTGCACAATTACCAGGCAAAGAAAACTTGATAGGACCTGTATTAAACATACCTTGTGTGCGTCGTAGACAACATGCGCGGTGGCTACAAGTTTATCCCGGTGCAACTGCCACACGTGTAGCTCGTGTATGGCGAGCACGCCAGGCAAGCGTAGCGCGGCGGTGCGCAACTCGCACGCACCCAACCCTTCCGGGACTGTCTGCAGTAACACCAGTCCCGCTGACCGCACTGATCAATGTAATCGAAAATTAGTAATAAGTAAAGTAAGTATGATGTGCTTAAAAGTTTTTAGTAAAGAAGGAGAATTATCAGCGGTTTATCTGCGTAATTCCCAACAGATTTCTTCAATAGACATAATTGTATAGGAAAGCCCCGTGCGGTTTTACGTGGCTTCCGACCCATGAAAGATCTTAAGTATCAGGCTCACCAAACGTGCTTACCATTTAGCCATTGCGTTCTACCTTGAGAAATAAATAAACACAAGTATTGGACTACATTGCATCACCTTTGTATCGGCGCTCTGATTCCGTGCAATAAATTTGACTAAACTGTTATGGAAATTTTATTTTAAAGCAATTAAGGAAATGAAATCGTAAGCGTTCGGGATAGCCATAGCAATCCCGTTACGCGATTTGTTTCCAGGTGATTATATTGTCTGACACATGTTATAAATATTTAGTGTCCCTTTCAATCTCATTATACTCCAGAATCCTTTCGGTTTCAACCTTAATTTTTTATTAGGTGGTTATTTTAAATCAAGTACTGAATATTCTCAATATAAACAACTGACGTATGCGATATATTTTATAGGTGTTTACTTGAAGATTACCTTATATTTTTTTAAATTTTGGATACAGAAATCGTGTATGATTTTGAGAAGTTATTCAAGTCATAGGAAACCGCGCGAGCGTGAATGAGGGCAACTGTAGCCATCAAAATGCGGTCAGGGTATAACGTAACAATAGTAACCAAGATTCCATAAACAGATTATGTACGCAACTTTGTTAGTTAACAGATCAACGCTTGCATTTGTCACTGGCATTTACAACTTGAAGGTGTTTACCGCTTAAATTTTTAATAAAAGATACAGTAGACAGCCTAACCGTAAGATAAAGTAAATAAGTAATAATTTAAGGTTTTAACACAGAAAATTTAAAACTACAGTCAGGCGCGGTTGCAGCTTAAAATTTTGGAGGGGTCTCCATACTTACGATTTGCACAGTTTCTTCGCACCCCTAAAATTAGTAATATTTTACTCGTCATAGCGTAGAAAATAATATCTAATGCATTTTTTTTTTCATTTTTTTCTTTTATGTCGCGCCGCTTATAGGAAGAGTTGCCAGAATTTTCAGCAGTCTTTGTGTGGAGATCATCGTCGTATACCTTGACGAAAGCATCGCGGCTAGGGGCATAAATTAACTTTTTATTTAGTTTATTTTTTCAATTTCACATGTGCGATTGGTGAGGAGGGGAGGTGGGTCATGTCCCCAGCGACCCCCCATTCGGACCGTGGCCGTTCGTTTAGGTATAGTATTGGGCAGTGGCGGATTAAACATTGAGAGCGCCGTAGGCATGCATCTCATCGGCGCCCATAGTTTAAAAACTAGTGACCCGCCCTCGCTTCGCTTCGGTGTAGAGCTGTAGTGTAGGTAGACTATAGTTTTTGTTTTGAGGCTTGTATTATACATAATGAATTTCTGCATGAAAGTTAATTTAACTGCTAGAGAAATTTTGTTGCGTACTTTAGGACCCTTTGTACCGAATGCACATTTTTTTTGATTGAACGCACAAGTGATGGTCCGATTTGAAAAAGTCTTTTTGTGTTAAATTGACATTTATTGAGGAAGGATTAAGGCTCTAAAACATCACACTGTGACCAGTATAAAGCAGATCATTATGTAAAATGTTGCAAAAACGTGTAAAAATATTCCATTTGTGAGCTGCCGTGGTGTGCGCTGCGTAAATGATTGAAGTTACATTTAAATCATTTATGGCAGAATTGTTTCCCTTTAAGAGTTCTATAAAAAGACCGCGACATCTTTTAAGTTTGGCTCACTATAACTTTTTTCCTTAAATTAACGCGAGGAAACCGCAGGGGACCTTTAGGTGTGACACAACTGTAATAGTTAGACATATGGTATCACAGACTTTGTTGATATTGATGTATCTTCTTTTGTACAGTTGGTAGGTATTTTCAATTTCGAGAAATCACAGTCGGTATTATCAGGTTGTTGATCTTTAACAGTTCAATGACTTTATTTTTATTTATTTAATATTATATTTACCTGCCTAGTTATGAATCAGATATCATAGGCGGCCCAATGACGTGACCGCGCGGTCTAAAGAAGAAATATTTTTTTTAAAAGGTAGGATGGAGGCCCACATTTACTATCAAGAGATCTTTATAAGGGATCTGCCGCCCCTTGCAGTATGCTGCTGCCCCTCCCAGCCTGACACCCCGGGCCATGGCCCTCTCTCTGCCAAGGTTACAACCATTCCTTCCGATGTGCCCGCATGAAAGGATATAGCAGCGATGGCTTATATAGGCATGGCGTACTTACTGAACGGGTAGTTGAAGATAACAAGGACGATAGCAGCGCAGGCCGACAGCCCCGGGTCTGCGATGCGCGCCGCCTCCGGTGCCCATTCCAGTGTAAGACCGGCGCCCATCACGAACAAACTACCTGCATAGAAATTTATGCACTTAAAAAGCTTCCGTTTTACTTGGTCGTTCGTTTCATTTTCCTACCCGCCCCAGAAAGGGGAGAGGGGCCATAGGGACAAAGGAGACAGATAAAGAACAATTTGTAGGGAGTCAAGAAAGTAAGCGCGGTGGAGGCCATTCCGCGCGTATCTCCCGCTGCTTCGGCCTGCATAACCAAGAAGGTTCGCCAGGCCATGGGTGGTTGGTGGGATTTGTCATCAGTGGGCTGGCAGTACCTACTGGCCCACTGACAGATGGAGGGAAGAACAGAACCCTTAGCACGAAACAATATTGAATTCGTAACGTATGCGAGTCCGAAATGTCATTGTCAAATGTGTACTAATTTTTAGTTGTAGTTACGTACTTTGTGGAGCTGCTGTTCAAGTTTCCATACAAAATTTGACATTGACATTTCGCACTCGCAAACTATTCGAATTCGATAATAGTTCGTGCTAGGAGTACAGAAGAGGCTTAGTATTAGTAATAATCTTAAAACATTGCTCACATAAGATATCACACATCGGGACTGACACGTGTACCAATAAATATTATGTTTTGTTCTAAATTTATTCATAAATTCATATAATAGTTGTTTATTTATTATTCAACTGTATGCATTGTATTAAATACTGTGGAAACATAATGAATCAGCATATACAAAATAAACAACAAATAAACAAAAGGAAACAATGGAATAGCTTCTTTACAACGAAAAAAACAATTTTACAAAAGCGACAAAAACAAATTTGAATGACGTCAATAACCAAAATATTGCAAATAAAATACAAAAATTCAATGAAAATTGAGTTGCACACGCATCGCTTAGGTAACCTCGGTTTCCATTCCAAGGAATTCGATTTTCGATTTTGAAAAATTTCAAATACGTCACGTTCACGGCTAGTGCATTTAGCCAATGTCAAGTTTTAAAATGTTTACAAATACTATAGCACTCGTGGTCAAAGTAATAAATCAAGTCAAAGTAAGTGGCAGTCAAGTCAAGCCCCCTTTCCCTATGTTTCAGTAAAAGTGTGGGGATTTACTAGAACCTCCCTGTGGACTTCTTGAGGGAACGTCGAAAGACACTTTCCGCTATTTTGTTTCACTTGCCAACACTTGTGCACTGTTCCCGAACACTTAGTGGTCAATAATCCACCATTATAAGACACTAAAATCCGCCACAACACAATTTTTAACATGAAAAACAAAACTGCTAAAGTGACGCTTCCCGATCCCGCCAAAAAGTCCCGTCATGTTCTATTGTCTGGCCAGGGCGCTTGTTCTTTTTTTACCCGACTGCACAATGCAAGAGCGTGAAGCGCGACGCGCAGACAGGGTATAGTGTTTAACAGACTATATACGAGATGTGTGAATGTTCCTTTTAGGCACACTAGAGACTAAACGCGTGGACCGATTTTGATGATTCGTCTTAATAATAGTAGTGCTACTAAGGATATGATAGTATAAAACGAAATATGGAGACAATTAGGCGCCATATTGTGACGAAGTAAAAATATAAGTTGACGAAGTATGTCGAGTGGGGAATACTGAATGGATTTTAATGAAACTTAACAATAATATAGCCCATACAAATAAGACTACATACAGGGTGTAAAAGGACCTATCACCTTAGATTAAAACAAAAAGGGTAGATACGGCACTAGCCTCACAAAAATGATCCGCATAAATTGTGGTCCACGACCTTAGTCGCTTTAGTCACAACTTGACATGCAAACGACGTACATGTGAACGCCAAAAATAAATATTGCCAATATTTTGTGTTTATATGATAAAACAATGCCTAAGTGTGTTTTTAAAAAGTGCTCAAATTGCTCAAGAACTAAAAATAAAACCCACGGCATCACTTTTCATTCGTAAGCTATAAAATATATTTATTCATAAAAATTGCTGTTTGTTTTGAATCTTATTCGGTAGTAACGTCGAGTACTGGTCGCGTGATTGGTCGTTAGTGCAGTGACGCGGATCTCGCCGTCTCGTTCGCGCTGCCGTTGAAACTTAACGTGCTGTTTCGTTCGGGTCGGTAATGCAGTGACGCGGATCTCGCCGTCCCGTTCGCGCTGCCGTGGGATCAGTTTTTGTTTGATGCCAGTATGAGCGTACCGTATCTACCCTTTTTGTTTTAATCTATAAGCCTATCACAAAGACTAAAATACGCATTCTGTACACCCAAACAAGTTATATTATACGTGGGAATCATTTGTATTTTTAACCGACCTCTGCAATTTCAATTATTGAAGATTTCGTTTTGAAAATCAGTTAAGTATCTCATTCCGGTAGAATTGGCCTGGCATGGCCCTCCTTATTTTTCAGGTTAGCAAAAATTTTCTAATTACATATATAGGTCAAGTATATTAAATCTATTTGGCCATGGGCATGGCCATCCTGATTTTCTGTTTAGCAAAGAGTTTCCTTTAGGCACATAGGTTGAATATCTTTTTATCCCGGAATTTCCAAGGGAACGGGAACTTCGCGGGTAAAACCGCAGGGCGCAGCTAGTAATAACATATAAATGTGCCTGCCTTGTCTCTAGGGTTATTGAACTTGGTGTATCTCTTACGAAGTTTATGCTTTTAACGCTCAGTAAGCGTTTGGGTGTTTTGTTAAACCACGGAGGATAATTTGAAGGTTTTGCGACGTATTTGGGTACATGATTGTAAATTTCAAGCTTATTTTTTTTATCAAATTCAACTAAGTATTCGTTAACATCTCGACAATCTTTAAAGATATCATCCCAATCAGCACAACTCAACATAGTATTCAGCAACTCGTAGTCTGCCTTATTGAAATTATGGCTCTCAGTGGGGTTAGTTATAAGATGTGCAGAAGAAACGCTATTTTTTGAGTATTTGGGGGTGGTACTCGTCTAATTTACTTAGTAAATCTAAGGGTTGAGCAACACCCAACTGCTCCTAATTGCTTATGACTAGATCTAACGTTTTGCCAAGAGAGTTCTAAACATTATTGTACTGAAAAAGGTTATTAAGTGTTAAGAAGTCGACCAGACACCGTCCCAAAGTATTACTATAATTAGCCGATATCATATTGTTGCAATTGTCATTAAAGATCCAATTCATATTAAGATTAAAATCACCTAACACGATTATATTTTCTATATGGGTCAGCAGGATATCCAAATTATTCAAAAAACGCTCTTGGGTCTCCGATCTGGGCGGACAAAGAACAACAAGGACAAAGAAGCACAAAGAGAGAAAGTTTTATATAAGCCATTTGTCTTTAATTTTATATTTACCCAGAGGTCTTCACAATTATTTGTTTCCCAGTTCAACATTCGCATAGAAGGTATATCTTAAGATACTGCTATTAGTACCCCGTTAGTTTTTGTTCTTATAACATGGATTTTTTGATAATAATTCTCGAATTTAACATATAATCATGACATCTTTTCTAGGCGTCGAGACTTTGTATATAAATAACATTCAATAGAGCGAGCGAGACAGAACTGTACGCTTCAACGCAGAGCGAGCGAAACGGCGAATCAGCTTCCTAGTGCGAACGGCTGAGCTGTATTCTTGTTCTTTTCTTGAAATGAATATGAAAATAAAAACACAGATAGCATTTTTATTATATACAGAGTGGGAGTGCAAAATTTTAATCAATCCTATGTTAAATCCACTTTTGGATGATCTCCCATACAAACCGACCGAAATTTTGTAATATTTTGAGGGTAGTAGGAAAAATTTAATGTAACAGGCTTAGTGTACATCCATTTAATAATGTTATGCAAAATTTGCAGTCAATAGGTCCACGGGATAAGGTTTTACGAACAAACGTTTTTTGCAAATTTCACGCTTAAGAGGCTGAATTTCAAAAAATCCCATCTTAGGACTTGTCTAGGCAATAATTAAATAGGAACCTACTGTCCTAATTTCATTATTTTAAGTCCAGCCGTTTCGGCTGTACGTTGATGATTCAGTCTGTCAGTGTATCCTTTTCTATCTTTATATATATATAAAAGTATAGATAAAACGTCATAACTCTTGCAATATGTAACTATTATGATTTTTGATGTCTTGTTTTACGTAATTATTATTATTTTTTATTTCCATCCATCCGTCAATACGCGAAGAAAGAAAAAATGTAGTTAAGTATCTAGTTTTTGTACAACAATAAGTCAGTTCTAGGTACTTACTGCTGTTTATTATGTTTATATTAATATTTTATTCCCGACATTTCGAGCAAAAAACGTTTAATGCGGTTTTCCACTCGGAACTTATTTCAAAGCAGTAGATTATTATTATTAGAGATGCAACGGATATCCGGTTGCTATTCGGTATCCGGCCTATCCGGCCGTTATTTTACTATCCGGCCGAATATCGGATAGTTGCGCGCTATCTGGCCGGATACCGAATAGTGATTCTGTTTGGTATTTAACTTTGAAAAATGGTTAGTATACAAGAAAACAACAACAAATTATCAATATTCGTTTATTAGTATTACCTTTAACGTACAATTAAAACTTATCAAAAAGCCTCATTTAAAGTTGTTAAGAAATCCTATGATCAGCATTAGTATCCATTCAACCAATTGTAATGTATCGTATGTTAATTCTTAATCAAATAAAATAAGTGTTACCAAATATATAAAAAGAGAGTTTAATTATGTTTTTATTTATTTTAAGTATTTAAATGCTAGAAAAAAAATTGCGAAGGGTGCGGGTTCGAGTCCCGTCAGCTGCCTGGCCCGCGTGTTTTTTTTTCTAGTAAAACTTTTTTTTAGATTTAAAGAGAGTTTAATATTCATAATTAAGTAACTGCAAATTGTGGTGAATAAAAACGATTTTCCCTGCATTTTTGGGTAACAGAAGATTCCTCCTACTTTCATAAACAAGTCCTGCCTCTGAAAAAAGTCTTTCGCTATAAACACTGCTACATGGTGAGGACAGATATATTTGGACAAATTTTATCAATATTGGGGATTGATTGGCGTTTGCTGCCCACCATG